AGTAGAGTTGCCTTGATCATGACCCTAGTTACTAAGTCTCATAATCCTAAGTACGGCGTGATGCGGTTCAAGCCGCTGCTTTGATGTTCTGGGGTTTGGGATATCGGGCTACGGGCTCTTCATAAACTCTAAACCCTAAACCCTAAACCGTGCATGGTCTGCGCACAGCGCTCATGTAGGAGTTTTATGAAGCGTTAGTAACTGGAGCAAGGCTTGAGGGTGGTTATGCTGTAATTAAGTAAATGTTATATCATAAAATAAAGGATGTTATAAGAAATATTACCTCTGTGTCAAAGGTTACGAGTTTTGAGTGCGTCTTCATTGAGAGTGGCGGAGGCTTTGTACAGCTTGTCTGAACAACAACAGCCCTGAACCATGTGGATCTTGAACCGGGAAGCTCAAAGCCTACACAATCCAAACCTTTAGTTCTTAGGATTTAGGAGTTTCAGAAAATTTAGGGTACCTTATTTTGGGGTCCTTATAATAGGGATCCTACTATTTAGGGTACTATATTAGGGTCCCCTATTTTCTGAAACCCCCATTTAGGGTTAAACCTCCTAAACCCTAAACCCTAAACCCTAAACCGATTTAGGGTTTAGATAACCCCCGAGCTGGGAAACCATCTCAAAGAAGACATTATAAGCACAAACTGAGGCAGGCCACTGCCAACAAGCAAAACCACGAGAACACAAGGGTTTAGGGTTTAGGGTTTAGGGGCACCGCAGCATACACAAGCCTAAACCCTAAACCCTGTGTAAACGCAGAGCCGAGACGCGGAAGCCAACGATGCCCGGGCGACCTTTGCTGGTTCGCTCAGGGCCACAGAACTCCTCAAGATTGGGGCGCGGGGCGGGGCTTTGGCTTTAGGGTTTAGGGCTTTGAGTTAGGGTTTAGGCTTGGGGCGTTTAAGGTTTCGGGGTTTCGGTTGAAAGGTGATCTAGATCTAAAGAATTTGCGCAAGGCCCCATGCTTACCGATGCCGGCTGAACTGGGTCAAAGACTGCTGCATACGATGGGTGGCTTAACAATCAGAATAAGGTTTTGGGGCCTACTCCACACTGAGTGTCTTTGTAAGGAAGCCTACGGAATAAATTGTGCTGGTAACTATTCAAGCCATACGTCCCTAGATGCGAGACAGGTTTCTACGCCATTACAGGGGGCTTGGTTGGTGCGGGGTTCAGACGTCTAATCTAAGGGCCTTCAGAATCAGAATCAAGCCTTGCGGTACATCTCATCGCGTGCTTGCAAGTGAGGAGTCCTAAACCCTAAACCCTAATGTAGGGGCCTTAACAATTTTTAATAGGGTTTTGGGGGTCCTGTATAGTATAGTTATAATTACGAGCCCACCAATATATAATTTAGGTAATTATGGAGGCCCCTATACTAAACCCTAAACCCTAAACCCTAGTCAGGCTTCCAAACGATGCAAGGTCCTACTATTTTTGGGGGATGAGGACTGACAAAGAACTTCGGATCTGTGGTAACGTCCTAACCCCAAGGGTCCATGTACCCAAATAGGATATACTTTGGCCCCAAAGTACCTAGATAGGGACTACTTTAAGGCCAAAGTATGTACTCTCTGGGCACATGGACCCGTAGGGAAATTACCTGGAATCCCAAGACCAATGGGAAGGAAGGCCCTCTTGGTTGCATGTTCCTACCATGGGGGACCCTATCTCCCTAAACCCGAAACCCCAAACCCTAAACCCTAAACCCTCAAGAAACAAATAGAGTTTAGGGTTTAGCGGGAAGGGTAGGAATTGCTTGTTGCTGTTGGCCAGCCGGAAACCTAACCCACCTGTGATAGCCCAGCACAAACCGCCTCGCCAGCCACCAGCCCAGCCCCAGCCTAGCTCGGGTACGGGGGCTCCTGCCGAATGTGAGGTATGCGAAGCCTTGGAAAAAGCTTTGCTGCTGCATGCCGAAGTCTAATCCGGAACAAAAAAGATTCTGGCAAAGCATGTCCT